TGGGCTCTCCACTCTGACCCATGGATCCGGCTTTTTTGAGGGAGCAAGGGCTGCTCTACCGTCTTGGTTACTATAAAGAGACATCTTAAAGGACGTGTCACAGAGCCCCGTACAAAGGATTCAAGGTCAACAGTCAAAAAATCATAATCACATACTGTAACAGCATACCAAAAATATTAATGGTAATTCCTTGTTATCATCAATATTGTTATAATAACAGTATTTACTATTTTTTTAATTATTAAAAAACAAATTCTGGGTTTGAAGAACCAAACAGCAGCCATACCATGGCAGTGGTGGCCAGGTCCCTGGTGTATTTTATCAGATAGGATATTCTCTGATCACTCCTTCTTTCATTCTTTTTAGGTACCTTCTTGAAGAAATGTGGTTACATGCTTTGGTTTCCTGCGGTACTGATTTTGTTGAATGTCTACTGATATGTTTTTCTATCCCACATTTTTCCTATAAATTGTTAAGTAGATCTAAACACTGAGGTTTGAATTTTCGCAAGAGTCTAATGAGGGTACTTCCCTGCTACAGTCTAAGCCTTGTTTCTTATTCTCACATTAACAGGTGGCCCTGACACACCCAACTTGGTCAGTGGGAGGGAGAAGAATCTGTAAGAACAGATGGCCCCTGCCTTCCGTCCAGTAACATTCCCTCCAGTTTATGGGCCTCGAAGTCAACTGCCCTGTCTTAGGGCAAGCCTGAATGCCATGCACTTGCAAACACTCTGGTGTTACGGCCAAACAGAACAAACAAAAACTTCACCTTGTTTCAGTTACAGAGGGCAGATTAAAACCACACCTTAACCCTAGCTCTATCAAAACCATACTAAAATGACAGTACAGGGCATGGTGGTGGTGGTGGTGTGAGTGCAGGCAGTATATTCTCAAAATGTCAGTGACATGACACACACTGTATGTAACACACATATAGTAAATACAGTCGAGTATATTATGTACTTAATATTCATTCCACAAAGAGAAAGGGAATCAGAGAGGAAATAATAGCTACATGAGATTGAAAGCTGAGGAGTAGATGGATGAGTAGAAATGGATTCAGCAGATCTCAAACGGGCAGTACTGAAAACAAAGACGAAAAGTTTAAAGCCCGCACTGTGAAGTCGCTCAAAGGTATAGAGCGCTTTGGACCAGAGGATAGTGTGAGGGTGTGCGAAGCACAGATCGGGGCTGAAGGTCCCCTCTTCCCACATAGCTGGGCAGCTCCCTCCGCAGAAGAGCTTTGCTCTCCAGGGAGGCAGGGGAGGGCCGTGCCCAGTGGGCAGCAGTACTCTGCCGCCAGCCTTCTCCCCCCACCTGTAACCCCGGCGCTGAGACTAGAGAGACAGAGCAGTGACCGGGTGGAGTAACACTGCCACCACTCAAGGGCCCAGGGCACCGCGCTGCTGAGACCCCGTCTGTGCCAGGCTTGCGGTCCCCAGCACCTCTGGGGTGCTACTGCCAAGCGTGAGCACACAGCCCAGTGCAGTAGAAACGCGAGTGAGCGTATGACACATACTCTGACATGTAAGGCAGAATAAAGCAATTCAGAGGCTACGCACAAACAAGAGGTTTCTAATAGAATATTATTCTTCCTAAAGAAGAAATAAATAGGACTCTATAAAAAGGAACATTCAGAGAAGGAAAACCTTTTTATAAAGAGCAATAATTAAAAACTCAATAGAAAAACTGAAAGGTAAATGTAAAAAAACTTCTCAAAAATAGAATAAAGACAGAGATGGAAGAAAAGAAGGAAAAGACTAAAAGGATTTTTAAAAGACTAGAACAAGAGGTCCAAATACTAAGAAAAACAAAACAAAACAAACCAAGGTGACAGGCCATTTAAAGAAATAACTGAAGAACATTTTCCAGAATCCAAAGATACTGGACTCACTACTAGGAGTAAAGGGCACTGCTCAGCACAGCCTAAACTTCCATAGACCAGGGAAAACAAGGCCCTTGAGCACAGGGAGAGGTGGAGGCGCGGAGCAGCAGTGCTGAGTTCCCGAGCTACGCAGGAAAGCAACCTGGAGCCTGAGCCCTGCATCCAGCCATGTCCCTGCAGCCAAGGCCTTAAGAAATCCCCTGCCAGGAAGCTCCTGGACTGGGCTCTGCTGTGGGTGGGAGCAAATGGAGGAAGGGAGGATGGGAGACACAGAGAAGCAGGGGACTCCAGACGGACACCTGTGACAGGGGGTCCCTAGCATGCAGCTGGCCCAGTTAGCACCCCATCCAAACTGCAAGAGGCTGGCAAACCTGGGGATGCTCAGCAGACACTCAGTGAAGGGTCCTTGTGCTGGAAGACAGGAAATAAGGAGCACAACTGGAAGTGCATCCTTGTCTACGGATGGCTCAGCATTGAGCAGCACACACGCAGGCCTCATCTGGACACTGAATACTGGTCCAACCAAAATGAACCAGAAAGGGAAGTGTGTGTGTGTGTGTGTGTGTGTGTGTGTGTGTGTGAACAGGATGGAAAAAATGAATTTTCATGTTCTACTACAGGGAGAATGGTGCCCAGAATACTGGTACCCAAAATGAACCAGAAAGGGAAGTGTGTGTGTGTGTGTGTGTGTGTGTGTGTGTGTGTGAACAGGATGGAAAAAATGAATTTTCATGTTCTACTACAGGGAGAATGGTGCCCCAAACCAAAGAATTGAGAGGTAATAAGATAAACACAAAAAGGAGGGACATGGAGGTGAATCCCTCAGCATTCCATCAGCTAAAGGAACTGCGGTGGACACTTTAGCAGCAGGCAAGCGGCGGGGGGAGGACGATGACAGAGAGACTGTCAACAACCAACTCTTTGAGACCATTTGACCATGTATTTAATGTAAAAATGTGCAAAGGCTGTCTGACGTATCTACTAACATCGTTTCATCAGTGACACTCAACAGCCAAGTCTCCACACCAAGGAGGCAGGGTGGCTGCTGGCTGCAGCTCAGCCAACTCCTTCCCACGGCCAGGAGAGCCAGGCGCAGAGACACACCCTGGGTCAAGGGACATCACCGGGGCTCCGAGTAGCAGAGGGAGACTCAGGAGATGGTTGGCTGAAAGTCTGTAAGATCCCAACAGATGTAATAGAAGAATAGAGAAGCCCCAGAAAGAGCCTAGAGGAGCTGGCTTTTGTCCTGAGGCCAGGACACCCTGACAGCCAAGAGCAGCTTTCTCACAAACCCCACTGCAATGCAGGGGAAGAGCCAACACAGCAAGTTTCTCTGAATCCTTAGCACTTGCAACCTGGTCAGATACGATTTTCTTTTTTTATTTTTTGAGACAAAGTCTCATGATGCAGGTTAGGCCAGCCTTGCACCTGCTGTGATCCTCCTGCCTCAGCTTTCCAAGTGCTGGGATTACAGGCGTGCACTACCACACAGCGGCATGACTTTCTAAATGCCAAGTTCAAGGACTATTTCTCAGTTCTCACCATTTTGATCTCTGCACCGTTCAGCCCTGCTGACGGTCTCCTCTTGTAATTTGTGCCCTCCCAATGATCCCATAACCCCATTCTTCCCCTCCCACTTTCATAATGAAACCTTGCAGGGACTGACTTGATGGCTGGGCAGAAGTAGTCTTGGTACTCAGGGCTTGCACCTCACTAAAAAGTTTGTAGGCAGGTAGGGAATGCTTTAATATCTACCTATCTATAAGAGATAACAACCACGTTGACATCAACATTAGTGATAAAAACTAATCAATAGGACACCTGCCATGGCTCAAAGGCTGACGGTGAAGGCCAGGAGTCGCTCCAGCACCTACCTGGCTCCGTTATGTTTCATCTGTGGGGACTCCTGTTGGCTTTCACTGCAATGCCAGACCCATAGCAGTAACCCAAAGTCCCAGGTCCTCTTCACAAGACATTCACTGTCATGCATTTATAATCTTGCCAGATATACAAAGGCTTTCTAGTGATCCATAAAAAAAAACAAAACAAAACAAAAAAAAAACGGGTGCACAGAAATGAGACCAGATCACAGGACTGGTGGCCTCACACGCTGGCGTGAACGGCGTGGGATGGCCATGACAGTGTCTCTAGGTGAGTTATCACATCACATGCCCAGCATGTCCTTGGATTTCAAGATCAGTCCACAAATACATGAGGAAATCTTTACGGAATACTTATCGGGTCAATGTTCAATGGCAAAGTGGACCCTACTTTGTCTACTGCTATGCATAATTATTTTTAGCATATAAAATAAATTTGAGGCCTAACTTCTAATATAAGCATTTTAGTTATTTTGGAAACCTACCCTTGAAGCTAGTTGAAATGTGTACCTTTTCAAAAACACATTATAATAATCTTATGGAACTAATGGCAGAATACCCCAAAGCACACATTCAAAAGAGAAACGCCTCACCCTGTGTCAAAACCAAAATTAAAACACAAGGTTTTTACTTCTTCAAGCACAATAAAGAATAAAGGATGGACAGAGGAAATGAGGGGAAGGACCTTGGTGCCCCGGGGAGACACTGCAAGCCTGGCCCCTCCCTCAACTTTCTTCTAACTGTCGCTGGTCCCTCTGTTTCCTATTAACCACTGAGCCTCTCTTTCCCAATGCAAATAGCTCTCGAAATCCCCTTTCTTCCAAGAAGTCCTCATGACTTGTTGGGACAGGTGTCCTGAGCGCCTTCATTTGGGTATGGGGTTTCCATACCCCATGTCCAACACGGGGCACTCCTTCACACCCATCCTGGGCACTGGCACGCTGCCCATGCTGCCCCAGGGGAGGACAGGAGGAAAGTGCTCCCTGAAGGTGCAGGTCAGGGAGCCAGTACGGCAGCTGCTCCTCTAGCCTGCACCTTGGAGCGGCCACTTGCTTCTTCTGGGCCCGGATCTCCCGTCTGCCAGTCAGGCAAGGGGGCGCCTGCTCACCAAGGCTGCCCTCAGCGTGTGAGGGCTGGATGGAGTTCAGAGGCAGCCCCAGTGCAGCAAGGCTGACACAGCAACAACACAGCGCCTGAGAAACGCCTTCCAACAACGGTGAGACAAATGCAGGACAAACCAGAACGCAAGTATTTATTTTAAATGTTAAAACCAGACACATAAATCATTACACAGTCAATGAGAATATTGAAATAAAGACACTTGGTGGGGAAAAGTCAACTGAATTGTATCTTCCAGCACAGATGGGTGCTCTATTGGCACAATGTCTGTGGGAGTACAGGGTTGCGGTTTCTTCACTTAGATCACAGGCCTGCTAGACACTGGTCAGCATGCTGAGGAGAGACACGCTGCATCCATCTGACGCATCTCTAAAAAGTAATCCTTCACTTCCGTTTACAAAGGGACAGGCGTGCCTCTTACTGGCCCCAAACAATGCCGTGCCCTAAAATGACCAGTATTCATAGTGACATTGAGTGCAACCATGGAGAGGTCTGAGGAGGCTATGGTGGAACCGGCTCCGTCTTCGGGAGCAAAGGGCAGATGGAGGAAGCAGGGTGCTGGGGGTCCCGGCCGGCCCTCAGTAGGGAATCAGGCTGGGCACCGGCCACTCTCCTCCACAAACACAGCTCTGTAAGGCGATGCTTCTGAGGGAAAGGGGTGCAACCCAGCACCCCACACAGCACTGCACAACAGGTGCCACAGGTCCATTGGGCAGGTCATGGGTGCTCAGCTCAGGAAAGGTGAGTGGCAGACGGCAGAGGACAGGGGACTCGAGGACTTCCGGACCACAAAGAATCTACTCCAACGATAGCAGCTTTTTACACAGTCCACAGTTTTCTAAAACCCATAGAATTAGGAAATTTAGGGCTTCTGCAAAGAAAGCTTTTACATGCAGCTGTACAATTTAGGACAAGCTCCAAAGATGTTTAAACACAACTCTCCACATCTCCTATCAATCTCTTCACGTGTCTGGAAACCTGACAGAGAGTGTGCTGAGCGAGGCCCTGGAAAGGCCTTCCTACTGGGCAGCACTGCCCCGAGGCCACCCCGAGGCCCCTCCCAGCACAACTGTGTACCAGGCAACTGAGGAAACATACACTGTAAAATGCATGCTGAACACCGCAGATCCCCTCTGCTTGGGCACTTTCCAGAGGGTCATGGCTGAAATGAAAACATATCCAAACATCTTTCTATGTGGTTAAGCCAGAGGGGTAGAGAGACTGCAGAAGGCACAGGGCCAGTGACCCCCTTGGCCCTGCTGCCGGCCTGCCCTTTCCATATGGCCTCACATCTTCATCAGCGGCGAAGAGGCGGCCTGGAAGCAGGCAAGCTGCAAGTGCATGCTGCTCTTGAACTTGTTCAGCAGCTCTTCCAGGAGCCTGTGGAGGAGACACTGTGTCACAGCTTGGCACCCAGGGCCCGCATGCAGGAGCCGGGTTCCAGCTCTACCTTCCACTTGACATTTCTAAAAGGCGGCTGCAAAAGTCCCTGCCCACAGATTCATAATAACGGAAATAAGTCAATCAAGGGGCTAGGGAAAAGGAATTCATATATTTATGCTTATATTTAAAAACTCCTGCCCTGTCCACCTGCCCTAGATTAACTAGAGTCTCCCCTAAAACAAAGCAATATTTGAATCTATTCTTTTCAAAAATTCAGTCTTAAAAAAGGAAGAACAGCACAATCTGCCCTTTTCGTTGAACAGCTGTGGGACTGCTGACACACACTGCAGCAGCGGGAGCCGCTCAGTCATTCGCTGGGTAGGTTTGGCAGGATGGGGAGCACCGGTCCCCTCCCGCGGACGGGGCCCTTGCTTGAGACCCTCCGTGGGGGTCAAGGGTGGTCGGCCGTTCCTGACTCTCAACACCCCAGCTACTGAGCCACGGCAAAGGTGATAGTGATCACTTTGTTTTATCACACGGAAAGAAATGAACAGGGTCTGGACTGCACTCTGACACAGGCTGAAAGCCAGCAAGACAAGTCAGAAGCAGGACAATGGAAACACGGCCATTGGTGTGGCATCCACTGCCCATGAGAGGTCAGTCAGGGACGGCGCTGGGGTCACACTGCAGGGACAGCTGCCACGCTCCCTTTCTCCAAGGCCACCAGCGCCACGTGATAGCCCCTCCACTGCCAGCCCCAAGGCCGCTCGGAGTCTCCCACCCCATGCGCAGAGGAGGGCCTGGCGCAGGCATACAGGGCACAGGTAAGGCTCCTTGGGCAGAGCTTCCTGAACCGTGAGCAGCAGGATGGAAGCCGTCAGTGCGGTGATGATGAAATGTGAGATTTTATTACGTGTGTGTATAGACTTGCTGCTCTTCAGACTTCATAGAGGAGTAGTGTGCACAACGGAGGGAGTTAAAAAAAAAAATCACGAGTCCTGTGTTTGACTAAGCTGCCTTCATTCCTGCAGCTGAGCAAGGCGAGTAAACATTCTTGTGACATTTCTGTGGCAGTTACTTAAGAGCTCAAAAAGAGCCCATTTCTACATTCTTCTCACCCTACAAGAAAGGCTTCACCTGACACCATCACCGGGAAGACCGGTGGGGCACGGATAACACAGCATTGTGACTGAGCTGCCGGCCAAGCGCTGCACCACTCCCGAGGGCCGCAGCCCTGCCTGGATGGCACCCAGAACTCACTTTTTATCCGCTCCGCTTGAGAGCTGCGGCAGGGCTTCCAAAGCCTGCTTGAAACTGGACCTGGAACAGAACAGCAACAGGTCACCCAGACAGACCCCAGGGCAGGGGATGGAGGGGGCACACGCTTCCCACACGAAGCCGAAGCACAGAGAAACCAGTGCACGCCAGGGGGGCAAGTGGGAGCGCAAAAAAAAAAAGTAAGTGAAAAACGAGAAAAGTAACAGTGCAGCTTTGGCTGTCGGAGGGAGGCGGTCCAGGAGCGGTCGGGCACTGAAGGCGGAAGGGAAAGGCCACAGTCACACTCCTGTCCTCAGGACTGCTCGACTTCAACAGGGCGTTTCAAAACAGACTAGGCGAGAGACACCAGAGCTGCTCAGAGAGCAAGGAACTCAGCGGTGGCGGGGATGCCCTGGTGTGACTGCACTGCCCCAGGGTGCCAAGCTGTCCCCGACAACAGCTCGTGACACCAGGTATGGCCTGTACAGGGCTTAGTCACCGCTGCAGACATGGTGCCGGGAAAGGGCACTACATCTATATCTACTGTGAGTATATCTTCACAAACTTAAAAATTCACTATCGTTTCTTTACGTGAAAAAGTTAAAAGGAATGAATCTGAAGGCCATTATTGTATGGTTAACTTTTGCAAACAGAAAGTAGCAGAAAAACTACTGACCAAATGAAAAGCCTGTCAGGGGTGATGGCTTGATGGTAACTTGCACTGTTCACTAGGGAACAGTTCTGAGCCTTTTATCTCGCATTCTTTTCCGACCAGCTGAGGGGAAGAAATGCAATTACTGTAAGGGTGGTCTTTGACTCTGTATTGTAACTGCACCCACTCTTCTCCATTTTTGAGCAATGTCAAAGTATGGACAGGCGTCCCAGCAACTGGGGAGAGGCCCGGCACAGTCAGAGATTCACACACAACTCCATGGGGCTGGGCAGAGACTGGCTCCTGTGGGTGGGGGCACCTGCCCTCCTGAGGACAGAAGTAACTGCCAGAGTTTGCACCATCATCCTGCTACTTACAAACCTCTTCTCAATCCAAAGAAACTTGATGCCACCATTCTTTACCGGCACTGTGATGATGACAATGAAGATTACATTGCCGGTTATTTGTAGGACACTGATGTTAGAAGATGACTCGGAGCAGTTTGTTCAATGCCCTCAAAACCTGGCCTGGCAGGTGCTGCAGGTCAAGCAGCCTCTGTCTGAAAATCTGAAATCCAACTGCTACATCCTGAAACTTTCTGAGCACCGACATGTGGCCACAGTAGACAATTCCACAGCAAAGGCAAAAGTATTAAAGATACCACAAGAAGTGGTATGGAAGGGAGGAAAAAAGAACTAAGATGTGTCATATACATGTAACAACTCCCCAGGAAGAATGTAATCCTATGTACTGCAAAGATGTAAGAATAAAAACTAAAAATAAATAAAATAGATGACAGAAAAAGTAAAAAAAAAAATCATCTTCAGGCTCTGTGTACATACAGTATATGAAACAAATAAATTTCATGCTTATACGTGGGTCCCATCCCTGAGCTATTTCACTGCACACATGCAAATATTCCAACCCCAACCCTGGCAAAAAATAACGAGGTCCAGCAACCTATAGTTCCAAGCATTTTAAATGAGGGATTACTCAGCCAGTATGACTTTCTTTTCACAGATAGAAACTTCAGATTCTGAGAGGTTAAATTTACGTGAGGAACAGGCACTCACACCAAGCAGCGGTGGAGATGTGGATGGCTTTCTGTCTTCCACATCACACGTGCACAAACACGAAGGCTGGACAAGGGGCGGTGGACAGGGTGGGGCCACCCAGTGGGGGTGGGAAGCAACTTGAGTTAATAAGAAAAACTTAGAAGTCTCCACTGAATCAAGACTGATGGCACAAGCCATGTCCTCAGAGGCAGGAAATGAGTGTGCTTCGTGTCCTCAGATGCCCAATTTGCATATTACTTGGCTTTTCGGGCACATTAACAACAGAGCCTAGGTAATACTGCACACGTGGCACACAATTTTGTATAGGCAAATAATTCTGTTTCACTTCACCTACTGATTTTCAATGGTAGGAAATCCTGACTTTCATTCAAAACAGCTAAAAGTTATGAAATTTCCACTACAAAATTTTGCAGAGAAACCACAAGGCTTCCTCTTACACTGATTATTTACAACTGTTCAAGTTTCCTATGAATAGACTAAGACTCATTCCTTTTCTCTTCTTTTTAAAGAAACATGCAATGCTATGTCATATTATATTTGAAACATATTTGTGAATGAAAACATAAAATTCTATTAAACTACTTTCCTTTACATTGTGCTACAAAGAAGCAGCCTCCATGGTCCTTGACTTACTATAGGCACACACTTAGTTAAAATCATTGACCGAACATAAACTATCACGACACAACCCGCATTCATGAGCATTTACTTTCTTTGGTATCTTTATAGAGTACTGTACTATAGAAAGACATCTTTACTCTTAAAAGCACCGAGCAAGGACAGTGGCATCTTACCTGCTTTCTGGTGTCAGGTAAACAGCCACAGTATCTCTCAAGGCGCAGATTTCAAGTCTCGCCTGGAAAAGAGAAGAGGAAAGATAACAGGACAGCTTGCTCACCGTCCAGTATACACAGCGCCCGAGGGGACCCACGGGATGGGTGTGACACCACCAGGGGTCAACTGGCTATGAGCAGCCTTTCTGAAACAGCCCCAAGCAACCAGCTACAACAAAACCCTCCCCTGATGAAAGGGAACGTGCAGCCCAGCATGGTGTATGCAGGCAGAGAAGGGAGTTGGGAGCCTGCTCTAAAAGGCAACACTCGGTGAGCTACATTCCTGGACAACTGGTAGGGCACCATGTGCTAGGGATGGGGAGGACACCTGGCCTGGCTAACGGAAGGGAGCGGCTGGCTGCTTCCTCCCACCCAGGCCCTTCCCGAGCTCCTCCC